AGACTATTTCATTTAATAAATGTTTTGTTTGATATACAAGTTGTTCGTTTTTTTTTTCATCTAAAAAATTTAAATTAATTTCTTGACGACCTAATACTAACATCTAGCTGGAAAATAGTACTCATGTTTACAATGATGTTTTAACATGGGTTTAACAGTACAGGAAACAATGAGACTATATACAGTAATACCTAGAGACTAAACTAAAAACATCTTAGAGTAATTCTTAACTGAATTATGATTTTGAATGGAGAAATGCTTACAGTGATTACCAACAATTGTGTTGATCTTTTTCATGTTTCCATTGTACGAGATAGTATTCTATTTATCAAAAACATCTATAATTACTAGCAACCGATGTGTTCGAAGGAAAACGAGGTTTGATAATAAACAAAATTATGACACTTATGATATACAGTATTGTTTATTGACAAAAAGGGGACATAGATAAACGTTTCGGAATTCTGTCAGACTCCATTTTCAGTATTTGCTTTAGATACTGAAGATACTATATTTGTACCATTTGAGATAAATTATTGATATACTTATCTCTGACATATATGATATCTCTGATATTTTTAAGTCACTCTAACATTATAGTTTTAACATATAATGAATGTAATATGACAGTAATAATGAGTATGTCTTTTGTTATTTTTTTTCTATTCATTTTGTAAAATGTGAATTTCTCATAACTTTAAACATAGAGCTCGTATACCGATTTTTTGATTGCCACAAATATGTTCATAATGTGTTTTGCTCAGGTACACTGATAACCTTATAGGTGATAATAATAACCACAAATAACAAGATTCGGAATGGTAGATGTTATGTGGCACTGAACTGAATTTCTGACAAGAGGCATCATTTGCTACGGGCAAGGAGGAAGGATGGTTTGTGATGTCCCAAAATAGACATCCGTTTAGTTCTGTAGACAAATCGTGTAATGGCCCTTGATTGTTCCACTCTTGCACGTGTGTATGATGATCAATTTTTGAACAACTTGGTTGTGTAAAGATAATATTAGTTAGTAGGTAAATCCAGGCTTTCCTCTATTAGGCAGTTTCTGGTATAATTTGTTCAGATTGATTTAGACTCTGTAGATTTTGTTATAACTTAGTTTTAATTTTAGCTTGTTGACCAAGATTTTGTTATATTGCTTTAATTGTTTTATCTTCATGTTCATTTTCATTTTGTAGTTTCACTGTATATCTTTTTTTTATCTTACAGGGTTTGTTTGTTTGTTTGGAATTAAGCACAAAGCCACACAATGGGCTATCTGTGCTCTGCCCGCCACGGGTATCGAAACCCGGTTTCTAGCGTCGTAAGTCCGCAGATATACCGCTGTGCTACTGGGGGGCATCTTACAGGGACGAGGGCTCACACTGGTGAGAGAGAGACTTCACTTCATCCATCTTTCTTACCAGTCCAACCTATTCATTGCAAACACACTTGCTCTTATTTTGTTTTTCTGTATTATATTGTTATTTCTCTCTGGGTTTTGTTAGTAGAGACTCTTGTAGTAGTGTTTTTACTCTTTATTTATTACACACTCAACTGGAGTTCACAAAGTAACCGACCTATACTCTGTTACTTGATATTCATTGGACCTCCAGTCAGTAGACTCTTGCAGTGTGGTAAATCTGCATGCGTATATCACATAATTAATAGTTGTTAAGTGATTATCATGACTGAATCATCCAGTGATTGTATAGACATTACATGTGTACATTACATCTGATAGTATTACACTCATGGTATCATGAGACAAAAGAAAATTTTGAATACGCCTATGACAGTAGGCGGAAAGCAAAAGAAATGAAATTACAGCAAGTCAACAAGAACGGATTCACTTATGGAAAACTACCAATATATTGCCTAGGAATATTAGGCATGTAATAATTACCAATTTTTCATTATGCTAGTTGTGATAGAGAATATTCTATATGCTGCCACAAATTTGCCCCCCCTCTCAGAATTTTTCTAAAATGACATCTATGTTTCTGACTATGCTTGCAATGAAAAAACGAGAAAAACACAATGTTTTTAAAACAGAGCGTAAATCAAACCTCACAAGTGCATAAGATAGCACTACACTCTGATTTCTGAAGAGAGTTCTTTATCTCAAAACCTCTTCAAGATTAAGAAAGTATAATAACTACTTATAAAAATAAAATAGTATCATCTCACCCAGGGTGTATGAGCTACTCATTTCCCTGGATTCTATTTGTCAAAATAGGGAGGACATAGGCTTCAGGTATTCCTACGTCTCTACACTGTAGACCTTGCTATATAGACCACATAGTATACTGTGTAATTACACAATGACATCTTCCATGGAAGAGTTAGAAATAACAAAGAGGAATGACCCATGATAATGGGTATCTAGAGCACTAGCAAGTTAGCTACAATCCATAACCACACACGGACTTGTGAAACATTTCGAAAATTTTTGGTAAACTGATTGAACTAAAAAGAAAATAAACATCTAATTTACTTTTACATACCATAATATGGATAAAAAACACAAGTTATTACATACTTAAAATATATATACTCTACTTACAATGATTTTTTTTTTAAATTTACTTATATACATATATTTAAGATTAATTTTGCTATACAAACAGAATTATATTGTCTGTGGTGAACTCCTAGTTTTGTTCATAAAAATCAGAATCTGAAATTATTTGCTTCTACCCAATTCCTAAAGCATAAGATCTGTATGTAACACGATGATTTTAGCCTTGCCCATGGTGTAAGGTTACTTCTACCCAATTCCTAAAGCATAAGATCTGTATGTAACACGATGATTTTAGCCTTGCCCATGGTGTAAGGTTAAGAG